TGGAGGAACTCCGGGTCTAGGGAACAATTTGCATACTATGCTTTTATTATATAGGATTTGGAAGCGTTTAGGCTAAGAGAACTTGTCTTGATTCAGTCAAATTAAAGTCCTGAGCCTGGGAGACAAAAAGGAGCAGCATTAGAAGAAGGCAACTAAGGTTATTGAATACTTAATGTATGCCAGACTTTGTGCTGGATGATTTACTGAGTCTATCTTATTTAATCTTTATGAAAAAAATCACCATGCTTTTTCACATGAAGAAACTAAGCCTAGAAAGTTTACTTTTAGCTTGTTGGCCTATAGTTGAGGCTCTAAAACTGGTAATTGGTGGGTTTGGAACTCAAACCCAAGACTGCCTGCCAAAGTTATGCTTTCTTTTACTCTAGAAGCCTTCCAGGGGCTTCCTTTGTGGTTCTAGGTGTTAGGTATAGGCTTTAGACCAAATACATTCATTCCAGTGCTTTCTCTAAGTGTCAACAAACTTTTCAATGTTGCCTTCTTAGAAGACCTTGCAAAATTTAGAGGGTCTGAAATTTGAGAGAATCCAGGAGACCTTTGTGAACCTAAGAGGGTAATGGGTCAAGCCCAGTGATTATTAGCATACTCCAAAGGAAGGAGAAGGCATCTTTGACTTCCAACTTCAACTCTGCTGCTAATTTGTTACGTGGCCTTGGGCATGTTACTTCCCTCTCTTAGTCTGCTAAGATTAAAGAAAATACCAGGAAATGCAAATTTTTGTGGGCGGCCCTGCTGATGATTTCCCAATCATTTCTGTACTAATCTCTCTATCACGCAGGGGACGGGAAGAAGTGATGTGTGTGGGAGGAAGAGCATCTCATCCCAAAGAAATGGTGTTGAGGCCCTGGGGAAGCAACAATTGGTTTGAATCTTGACAAATGAGTAGGAGTTTGTTAGGCGAACTAGGAGGGGAGGGGAGATTCCAAGAAGGGCAAAAACTTGAGTAAAGGCCCGGAGCGAGTTTGGGGAACTGCAAGTAATCCAGGAAGGTTGAAGCATTTGAAGAAAGGGAGGAGCCAGACTAGAAATTAGGAGAAGTCCATAGAAGCCAGTAGTGACCAGTAGTAGCCTTTCAGCCTTCGAAAGAGCCTGTCAATGAAAGATTCCAAGCATGGAAATATCACATATTTGTGTTTGAAAAAGAGCCTTCTGCTCTGTATTTCTGCCCTCTGCCAGAGAAAGGCACAACCGAGCAAGGATGTGCTCCTGTTGCCTAGAAACTGGAGTGAAAAGACATTTGTGGGGCAGAACCAGAGACAACCTATAGCCCCCTCTTATCTGTTACTAGAGGCCCTATGCACAAAATTCGTACAAGAGGAGGCCTTCGCAGCTCCAGCTGCCTCGGCCCTCACAGCCCTGGCTTTGTCCAGATGGATGTCCGGATGGTTGTTCCACTGGTCAGTCGTTCGGTTGATTTGCATATTACAATTTTATTTTTGTAGATTAATGGAAGTTTTCTTCTGTTCTTGATTGATTCAACAGAATAAGAACAGAACTGTTATCTAACACCTCAGAAGTGCATCTAATTGATTTTTTACAAACACCCTGAGGGAAAAGGCTTTCACACTGTGTGATTTCCAGTCAGATCCAATAAAGCTAGCCTTGCAAGTGGGGTTCTTCAAGGAATGACCAGATAAATCAAATAATGATAGCTCTCTGGGAATGAGGTTTTGAAGGCGCTCCAACCCCCTTTCTGCTCCTACAGTGGCTACAAGCCTATTGGTTTTCACCAAGATTGTGCTGGGTTGGTTATAAGGCAAGAGAGATGATGAAGAGTAGGACAAGATAAAATGTCACAGAGGTAACTATTCTTACTGGAATTTAGACATTTTTCTTGAATAAACACTCCCTGAATTGTTGTACACCTTTAGTTATTTTAGTTAATTTCTAGAACTCTGGAAAATTTGATTCTGATTATTTGTTTTTATAGTTTTCTCATTACTTTTATGAATGAGAGATCTTTTGGAAAACCTTACTCTGCCATTTTTGCTACCATCTAATGTGTGTGTGTGTGTGTGTGTGTGTGTGAGAGAGAGAGAGAGAGAGAGAGAGAGAGAGTGCGAGAGTGAGACAGAGGGGGAGAGAGAATGTGAAATTCTCTTTGTCAGGTTAAGTGAATTCTCATCTTCTAGGTTGATTAAAATCATTGTCAAATTTTCTACATCTTTCATTCATTTATTGAAGTGATTGTATGCGTCCCCCCTTTAATTGGCCTAACTAATACATAAATAGATTTTTTAAAAACTTACGCCATCTTTGCATTCCTGGAATAAGCCCTATGGTATATCTTCTAATGTTAATGAAATTAATTTGGTAATATTTTATTTAGAATTTCTATTTTCAAGTGAAGTTGACCCATAATATAGGGAACCAAAAGCAGAATCGCCATCATTTGCACAACTGAACTCAGAGGACTGTTCCATGTCATGACTTCTTGTGCAAGAGCTGACTATAACATTTGGATGGTTCCTTTTAGGAGGTAGGTAAATCTGTTTGAAGCTACACATGGTAAATCAGTTCGGATTAGAAATAGAATGAGTTAAGAAACCTGGAAAAGAGCACCTTAAACAAGAAACATGTTTATTACTGTCCCAACTAAAAAAAGACAAGCAGTAGGCTGTTTAGTTGAGTATAGTGCAGTGATGGCGAACCTTTTGAGCTCGGCGTGTCAGCATTTTGAAAAACCCTAACTTAACTCTGGTGCCATGTCACATATAGAAGTTTTTTGATACTTGCAACCATAGTAAAAACAAAGACTAGTATTTTTGATATTTATTTTATATATTTAAATGCCATTTAACAAAGAAAAATCAACCAAAAAAATGAGTTCGCGTGTCACCTCTGACACGCGTGTCATAGGTTCGCCATCACTGGTATAGTGACTCCTCAGATATCTTTAGGATATGGTGGTCCTATCACCCTTAGTTTATGGCCTTTGTCCTCATTGTACAAGATGGCTATTAAAGCTGCATAATCCTTTGTTTTAGGGGGTGGGGGTGGGGGAGTCTCAGGCAACAGGATAAAAGAAGGAATGGGAAATATGTTCCTATCCATTGCTGGAAATTCTACATGATTTCTGCTTATTAGCAATGGCTAAAACTTAGTTCCGTGTAAAGGAGTTGGAAAACATAGCCTTTAGATGAATGGCAACACGTTCAACTAAATATCAGGGTTTGTGAATTTGTGAAAAGGGGAAGGTGAATTTATTTAATAAGCAGTTAGGAGTCTTTGCCACCAGAGAATGGTCTGATCATGTAAGAGGGACATCTTTGCAGTCAGATGTATGGGAAGAAGGGTAATGTGTATGTTTTGTGCACGTGTGCTTGGAAGTCAAGGAGAATGAGGAGGGCATTTACCAATGTCTGTCCTTGTCTTCTGAGAACAGTATCACACAGACCTTATCCCTTGCATATGTTTAAAGTTAATAGCAAGTTTCTTGATCTGAGTTCTAATTAAAGAGGTATGTTTACTTTGAGGTTTACTTTCTAGTTTACCATGCAGTTTTCAGGACATTCCATAGGAAATATTCCAATAAAGAAAGATAATGATGAAGGGTGGCTTGGGAAAATACTGGCTTTTAAGGTTTTGTTTCAAATTCTTCTCTAGCTTTTTTTTTTCCATTTTAACCACACTTTGAACCTATTTTCTCTCCTTTATATAAAAATATATAATTTTTAAAATATAAATGTGTATATATTGATCTTATCATATATAAACATAATAAAATTTATATAAGTATATACATTTACCATCATTTCTGAGGTCCATGGTTCTACATATAAACTCTCAATATTGCAGTACGTTAGTTGTCCGATATCTAGAAAAAAATTTTTATGAAAAAAATTAATAAAATAATACTAACTTAACACCTGGATTTTTTCAAGGAAATATTTCAAATTTTCCAGTTTGCTGATTCCCCTCCTCATCCTGCAGAAAGTTCACAGAGAACCACTTTTATCAACACCTGTAACTTCCTTGGAACTTTTGAGATACATCAGTGAGAGCAATCTTTCACAACACAAGCCTAGCCATGCTCCTCTCTTGCTGGAAGTCCATCAATGGCTGGCCAGTGTCCTCAGGACGAAATTCTTAGGATCCTGCATTGCATGGCCCCGTGACCCCACTGGTCTCATCTCTTGCCATGCTTTCTCTTTCAGACACACTGGTCTCAGTCTGAATCTCAGCGATGGCAAGCTTTTCCTCTTTTTCCCGAAGTAGGGTTTCCTGAGCTCAGTTTTGTGTCTTTGGTGATGGTGCAAGGCAGGAGGTGGGAGGTGGGAATTTGGTCCGTGTCTCTGTAGTGCTGGCCTAGAGATCTTTCCAATGCTCCCACTAACTCCTTGGCTCTACTTGGGCTGTTTCTTCTCTAGCCTCACGGAGTCTCCAGAGCCCACACCAGGGGCTGGAGAGGGGCTACTGGCCCGTTTCAGAGTAACTTCTGCCTTTCCAGTTTTTCTCAGAAAAAGAACACCCAACTCTGCCATGAATCTACATAAAATTCTTCACTGCGTTGTCCAGTAGGTCTCAAAAGCCCAGGGAACTTTAGGAAGAACAGTGGTCATAGGAATTTGCATATGAAGCAGAATGTCACATGTCTCAAGAAAAATTGGAAATGATTCATCTTGATCACCCTGACAATTTGCCTATTAAATCTCATGACCTCAGCGCCAATGTTCAGTTTCTCTCTTGATTCTTCAAGTTATTCCCAAACCCTTCAGTGAAATTCCCACCCCCACCCCCCCCTTTTTTTTGTTTAGGGATCTTGCACACAACCAGATGCTACAGGGAGCAGTTTCCGCTCCTTCAATCCTTTCTCATGCTTTTCAAATGCAGATGTCCTGGCTCTGGCCTGATGCAGAGTGAAACGCTTCTGTGCACAAAGTTGATTTTGGAGTCAGGAAAGCGAAACTCCAGTCTAAAGGGTGAGAGAGAAAGCAGGTCCACTTCACTGTCATTGAACCTCCCTCTTAGTACAGTCTTACAGCTGAACTTCTCACTAGTTTCTCTAAGAAACACGTAGACCTCCGTCATATCAGGGAAAACAGATTTTCTCATTGATCTCATCCTGACTCTTACGAAATGAAAGCCCCAAAATATTCATGCTAAGAATTATTATTTGAGAACTGGCTTATTTGTCAAGCACCACCACCCAAGATGGCTCTCTATTTGCCATCTAGAAATGTAGTCATAGCTTTCCAATTGTCATTCACACCTCTCCAGCAACCAGGTGGTGGCTGTTTCTCCCAGGGCACCTCGCCTCATCCTTCCTTTTCTTTTCTTTTTTTTCTTACACTCTTTAATTTATTATATAGATGCAGATCTGTTCTATGTACAATAATTGGTTCTATCCAAGAGTCGTACAAGGCATTCTATTGGTAATCCTCCCCAAAATAGATTCAGATAAAATAGATCTTTGTGCACTTCATGGACTAGCAAAACTCAAGACTTATTAATTTCAGTTTTGAGGCCGTACATTCAATTCAAAATATTCAGAATTAGGATTAAGGCGGTAAGAGTGTATTCTGCTCGCATCGGAGGCACAGTGTGAACAGCAAGGGTCGGGCGCATGGCCTTTCGCTGCAGGGTGAGGAGCTTCCTGGAATCTGAGGTGACAGCACGGGGCGGGCTAGCAGCTGAAGGCCCTGCTGGAGGCTTCGCCAGGGGCTCCTTCCCTCTCCCCTCTCCTTTCTTGGGTTCTTGCTTCAGTTTGTAATCAGCCAGGGCGGCCTTGATCGCATCTGCAGCCAGCATGGAGCAGTGTGGCTTCACCGGGGGCAGGCACAGCTCCTTGGCGATGCCTGTGTTCTTGATGGTCAAGGCTTCCTCCACCGTCTTTCCTTTCACCCATTCGGCGGCCAGCGAGCTGGAGGCGATTGCGGAACCGCAGCCAAATATTTTAAACCTGGCGCCCAGGATCTTCCCCTTCTCATCCACCTGGATCTGGAATTTCATCTCATCGCCACACGCTGGAGCCCCCACCAATTCAGTCCCAACATTTTTGGATGTCTTGTCAAGAGATCCCACGTTTCTGGGATTTTCATAATGATGGGCAGCCTTCTTGTGATAGAGCCGGGCGGAAGCTGACAGCGCCCGGCGGCTACCCCCGCAGACGGCCCTCCAGCCCCCCTCTTTCTTTCTTTTCTAATCCTCTCCCATGGATATGCTTCTCATTGATTATTATTATTATTTTTTTGAGAGAGAGAGAGGCAGGGAGAGAAAGAGAGAAACATTGATGTGAGAGGGAAACATCAACTGGTTGCCTCCTGTACTCACTCAGGAAATCAAACCCGCAACCTGGGTATGATGTACCCTAAGAGAATCAAATCTGCAATGTTCTTAGTGTAAGAGATGATGCCCCAACCAACTGAGTCACCTGGCCAGGGCCTTTCCCCTTTCTTTCTTTTTATTTTCCATTGACTTTTTAAAAGAGAATGGAAGAGAGGATGGGGAGAGAGAGAGAAACATCCATGTGAGAGAGACACATCCATTGGTTGCCTCCCACATGCGCCCTAACAGAGGCTGGGGATAGAATCTGTAACCTATGTACGGACCTTTGACCGTGAATGGAACCTGTGACCCTTCACTGGGCCCGACACCTAACCACTGAGCAACACTGGCCAGGCCCTTTTCTCTTTCTTTAAGGCTTCTCCACACACACTCCCCCGACATTACATTTTTCTGTCTCTGATTCCAAAGGGAAGTTCTCTCTGATCCTCAACCCTAGATCTGATCCTCCTAGTTTACATTGGCTCCACCCTCACCAGCTCTTTTATCTAGCAGTTGTCATATTTGATGACACCTGTAGCATTGTCATGAATGAAATGACATCACTAATTTTCCTTGGGGTGGTCCTCCAGCATGAAGGCAAGAACTGTGCCTGTCTTTCTCAGTGCTGAATCCGGATTGGTGTTGCTTAATAAATGCATATCAACAATTTTTAAATGGCCTGAACTTGGTTGGTTGGGAGCCTACATTTCCCCCCATTCACATCAGGACTATGTCGCATCTGTCTTCCTTCACTTACGGACGCTTTGGGAAAATCCCTCAGTTGTGCTTTTATCACTTCTAGTAACTCAACAGCGCAGTTCAGTGTAAAACTCCCCTTTGACCTCTTCCTGTCATTCCAGCTAAGGCTTGTCTCGTGGTCCAAAAATCTATAATAGGAAGGGAGATATGGTCTAACACCTCTCCCCACTCTCTATTTTGCCTCATCTAATTTCAGCTTCTCTAGTGGTGAGGGCATGGCAGAGAGGCCAAACTAGTTCTCAGTTACTTGGCCGCTGCTAGTTTTCTCTGTTTCTCTGACTAAAACTGATCCACTGTGGCGGCCTCCTCTCACAGACATCGGAGTGTTGGCTCATTTGTGGAGCACAGATGTGAGTGTTTGGGGGGCACAGGTTGGTGGGAGTGGGAGCTCTCCGCTGAAGAGTGCTGATGTGGGAGGCGTTCTCTGGGTTGTCCTCTCCTGGCCCTCCTCCCACGCGGCTCCCACCGAGGGTGTAGCATCGAACCCCGCTGCTGGCATCCCTACCTGGTGGCCAGATGGCAAGACAAGTGAAGCCTGGCCACCGTCTGCAGTGTCCATGCCAAGGAGTGAGTGTGCAGACTCCTCCCCATCTCACTCAAAGTCCATGCTTCTGTCTTTGGGAAGATCAATGAATCCACTGCCCGACCAAGGAGAGCGGCTTCACTTTTTTTATATTTCTTGACTCTCTCATGTAGTGCTTTTGGAGCCCCTTTCAGTTGGCATTAAGGCAAGGTGACCCCAGTCACGCAGAAGAGAGGGAAAAGCCACCGGTCTCTCCCAGATCCAACAATGTTGATCCTGATGGTTTTCTCCTCCCTCCCCATTCTTCTATTTTATAGAGTGGGGGTGAAGAGTGCTGGGGTGGATTGTTGGGGGAGCAAAATCAACTCGATCGCCCCTTACTTAGCTTAGAAGTGATGCTATTCCTGACTTACGTATAGCTCTTTTGGGAGTGTGAAGTCTCCTTGTCTTAGCTCTAAGTTCGGGGCATTGGGAAAAGTCCATCAGGAATCGCATTACAGATATCTACTGGTGTTGAGAGAATGAACCAATGTGTTTGTTGTGCTGTCTGCCCATAGAGAGCCTTTGCTCAAGCTGGGCTCCTGGACACAGGGTCACCGGGCTGGGAAGCAGCGAGTTCCTATTTCACTCAGGAAGGAAACAAACCAGCAAGGCACTGACGCTCACGGGCTGTGAGACCCTCGTGGGCAGATGGACCGTTAGAGGCAGAACAGAGCACAGTGAGAGCTTGGGACAAAGCAGAAATATTGAGGGAAATGTACCGGCAGGATGAGGTGGAACAGAGAAAAGAAAAAATAAGAGACAGGAAGATGATGAGGGGGACAAAAATCTGGAAAGAGAAAAGGTGGTGCAGGAAGAGGGGGGAAGACTAGGAGGCTGAGGTCACGGGGAGGGAGCTGGGCGAAGGGGCTGGGCTACAGCTTGCCCAGCTGAGCACAGGGAGGTGGGCAGAGCAGCTGATGAAAGGGAACAAGGGCCTGTGGTTCCGGCTTTGCAGCTGGGCAGGTGGCTCTGGGCTGAATCCATCCCTTCCTCCACCATGCTGTCTCCTGAGGTGATTCCTAGGAAGTGGGGGGAGGTGTGGTGCAGGAGCTGCCACTTTAAATTTTTAAAAAATATTTTTATTGATTTCAGAGAGGAAGGGGGGGAGGGAGAGAGAGAGTGAAACATCCATGATGAGATAATCCTCGATTAGCTGCCTCCTGCCAGCCCCCTACTGGGGATGGAGCCCACAACCCGGGCATGTGCCCTGACCAGGAATCGAACTGTGACCTCCTTGTTCATGGGTCAACTGCTCAAACATGGTGCCACACGGCTGGGCAGGAGCTGCCACTTTAACAAACTCGCTAGCCCAAAGGCACTGCAGGTGATGGATCCTATTATTCCTGGACAAGAAGTGAGAATAAAAGATGGAACCTTTTTAAAAATATATTTTTATTGATTTCAAAGAGGAGGGAAGAGGGAGAGAGAAATATCAACTATGATAGAGAATCACTGATGAGCTGCCTCCTGCATGCCCCCTGCTGGAAATTGAGTCTGCAATCTGAGCATGTGCCCTTGACCGGAATTGAACCTGGGATCCTTCAGCCTGCAGGCTGTTGCTCTATCCACTGAGCCAAACCGGTTCGGGAAAGATGCAACCTTTCTAAGACTGCTTTGGTCTCCGCAAGAGTTGTGTAGCATAAACATGGTCAAGGAAGCCACTTAAAATTAAAACCTGCAATGAAGAACTTTGGAAAGACTTTCTCTCCCAATACCCAGACCCATTCCTTAGCCGGAAGCTTTTGGGTAAAAAGTGTGGCACAAAGTCAGGCACAAAGATGGGTTCAGTCAACATGGGGTCTCATTAAGCAGTTCCCAGCACAGGGTCTCAGTCCCCAGCATGGCCGGCCATGTGGTAAGTATGGTTGGGCAATAAATGAACTCATGGATTTGAAGGTCCAGGCCTCATTTACATGTGCCCCTAGTTGGTCCCACCACCTGGGCCCGATCAAGATGTTTCTTTGGGCAGGGCCATCTATGAAGGCTGCATTCTCTGAGTTCCCAGGAGCTCCTGGCCTTGCAAACTTCCATGTGTGTCACCTAGTACTGCTGTTGGGACTAGCTGGTCCCTGGCAGTGTAGCCAATGCACTTGGGGACCACGGGACCCTAGGAAGGACCACTGGACATTTTAACTTGAGAAGGAATGAGTGTGGGACCACGGATCCGAGCAGGGTAGTAAGTGGAGGAGAGAACCAAGTCCCATGGACAGACCTAGAAACACAAAGCTAGTGGTCAGAACAGCAGAAAGCCTGGAGGCATCTTATGCCATGCTGTTCAAACAGTGGTGTGTGGGCCCGGCTGTGGTGGCTCAGTGGTTTGAGCCTTGTCCCATGGACCAAGAGGTCCTGGGTTCGATTCCCAGTCAGGGCACATGCCTGGATTGTGGGTTCGATCCCCAGTAGGGGCATGCAGGAGGCAGCCAATCAATGAGTCTCTCTC